TGGAGCGGGAGAAATACCTGGGCAAGGGCAGACATTCTGGCCTGTGAGCTATGTGTGCGTTTGAGCTCTGCAGTGAATTATGGCTCACAATTTACAAGCTGTCCAGGCTTTCAATTCCACAGAAGATCAAGGGGCAGAATTTCCCTGCTTCTTGAGCTGCTCTTTGCACCTTTGTGGATGCTGCTAAACCAACCCTGCTGGGGCAGCTTTTAGTTCTGGTTCATAAAGCTTCTGCTGAAGAGCAATATGTTGCCTTTTGAATGCATCAGGCTGCACCCAATGACTTGCATTTGTATTTTCAAAACATTGCAGCAGAAGGGAGGGGCTGGAGGTGGGAGGAGAGTAGAGTGATCAGCTGTCCTGATTTTATAGGGACAGTGCCAATATTTGGGGCTTTGTCCTATATAGGCATCTATTACCCCCCATCTTGCTGTCTGGTCACCCTAGAGGAGAGACTCCCTAGCTTCCTACTAGGACATCTCTGCCCCTCCTCTTTAATGTCTCAGTTCAGACACTGCAACCACAAGAGAGTCATGCTACATAACACACATTAGAAAAACTCCAGATTTCCACTGTAAGAGCCCCTGGTGATGCTGAGTGATGGGGATAGTCTGGAGGAAATCAGGGCAGGCATTACTGTGAGTGTGATGGTAACTTTGAGGTGGGGAGTGTCCCACCCCATACAAAAAAGGAACTTCAAACTATCTCAATAGCGACATGTCCTGGAACCAAGACTAGCTTTAAAAAGAGGCTTTTAAATCTGTTCATTAATGTATTTATAGGATGGGAAGTGTCACTGGGCAAGCATGTCAAAGTGGCTTGTCTTTAGCATCATCTAGTGACAAGGGATGGAATTATGGCTCCATTTGGTGAAGAATGATAGGGTTGTAGCACCATCTGGTGGGAGTTGCAGGGCTAGCTCCCACAAAGTAATGGGATTACAAACAAATCCTTAATTCAAATACCTGAAGAACATCCTGTACCTTAGGGCTTATTTTCAAAGGGAATGAATGGGTGAGTGGTAGAAAGAATAAGCACTTGCATCAATTGCTGCTTATTCAAGAATTATAGCTACTTAAAATCTAACAACTTACAGGCAATGCAGAGCTGCTGAATTTAAAACTAAAATTAGAACAGATATATTGGTGTAACCACTGTGCTCTTGACAAGGATTGTTTCATTTTGCCAGTGTGGTACCTACTAAAGCCGTGGCATATTTTCTCTAAGAGGTGCATGGGTCTCTTTGCCGATTTAATGTTTGGTATTGCAAACCCATAGGGCTTTAGCCATGTACACTATATTTGTTTAAGTGTAGCATACATAGGAGGACGCTTGGGTAAATTGGTGCTATATAAATAAAATGTTACGATTACTAATCATCTTTGTTAATGGGATCCATTATCCCTTCCGTTTGTGCAGTGTTTCTTAGCTGTTCATTATTCTTTAAGATAGGGGTACTTGCTATATAGCCAATTCTCAGTCTGACGGCTGTGTCTGATTTTTGCCATGTACATTTCAAAAATCTTTTAATGTTTTAGAAGGGAATAGCTGATGCCAAATCCTTTGAAACCTCACTATCATGATTCTTGCATATGTCACTATACAACCTTTATTCCTCTGTCAAAGATAGCCATCCTAGCTAATTAAAATAATACTCTGTGCAACCAACTTAAATTGCAATGAGACAATGTGGATGAAATACTATCTTTTATTGGATCAACTTTTGTTGGTGAAAGAGACACACTTTTGAGCTTACACCGAGCTCTTCTTCAGGTGTGGCACAGCTAAATATATGGTGGAACAGACTGAACTGTAATGGGCAATCCTAAGTGAAATGAGTTTAGATACATGAGTAAGTCAAGTAAAGCGCCTACTTCTACAATAAGGGCCATACGTTGCCCTCATTTACACCCATGTAACTCCACTGATTGAAGGAAGAACAGAGCTGTAGATGGTGGCACAACGTGGGAACAGCCTAAAGTGTGAGACAGTGAATGTCAGAGATAAATATGTCCATAAATCAGGAATAATCTCATTGAGAGGAAATAGAAAGAAACTCATTGTGATTGGCTAAAAGATCATGTAATGCCATCAAATGTCAATCACTTTCAATTTAATTCTTCAATGTAACGTCAACAAGCCAATCCATAGTTACTTAAGTCATTGATTTCTCTCATAGTAAAGTGAATTCTCCATATCCCTGTACAGATAACTGACATTTAATGCACCCTGGGTTTGGGGGCTCTATTGATCTGAAAAAAGAAATCCAGTAAATGTTTCTTTTATAGGAATGGGGGAAAGGAGAAGCAGATTAAAATTCTTGTTGCCTGGATTTGTGTCTTGTGCTAATATTACAATGCACTCAAAATTCTTTTTCTTGGTGTGGATATGCCAGATAAGATCAGTCTTGGTCTAAGGCTAAGGCATCTCTGCTACAATAGACAGCCACCTTGTAACACCAACTGGGGTCCGCTGTTTGAAACAAACATTACTTTACTCCCTCTCAGTTCACCCCAAGGCAAGGCAGTGGTGCACGTGCACACACACACACACAGGAATCAGACACACAAGAAGAGGCTGTGCTCTGTGTTTAGAGAAATATCCATAAATGTTGGTGTTAGGAAGAATATGCACCAGTGCTATCTACAATAGTCTGCTGTGCCTGTGTCTGTCAGTTCTCCCACGCTCCACCAATATCCAGTGCTAGATGAAAATCAGACCTGCTAACGTGTTTGCAATCATGTCACCTACTAGTGGCTGGTAGTTCACAGAGGGTAAACTCAATACACCACACAAGCAACAGCATTTCAAAGATTATTGCTTGTCATCTAGTAACCAATGTTCATCCTCCATAAAAGATTCAGAGTGAAATTTACTCATGTGCACAGGTCCGATGCACCACTTAAGCCCTGAGATAGTGTTTCTAGAACACTGCATGAATGAGTGCTAACACTAAGAATTAAAACAGCAGGGGATTTTCCCCTGTGGTTAGAAATGGGAAAGACTTGATGACATAAAATGTGTCTGCATCTGGGAAATGGTTGTTTCAGTAATGGGAGATGGCTTGAAACACTCAGGGCTAAAAGGTTTCAGAGTAAGAGCCGTGTTAGTCTGTATTTGCAAAAAGAAAAGGAGTACTTGTGGCACCTTAGAGGCTAACCAATTTATTTGAGCATAAGCTTTCGTGAGCTACAGCTCAGAGTAACATCCATGGGAGTTCTGTGCTTATCACTTTTGCCATTGTTCTTCCAAACAGAATAAATATGCATTATTAATTATCCCACATATATCTGCATACAGCTCTGACAGCCAGGAAAGAGAGACCATTTGTTCAGCCATTATGGATACAACTTTGAGATATCATTTCTGAATTGCAAGCAGTGAGGAGAGAGGATTTGTGGGAGGAGTAAGAAATAAGCAAGCCAAGGCCCTAAAAGAGATGCCATGACGCAGATGAGATTCAGCAGTGAGGAAAGGGGTTACAGCAACTCTATGAAAAAGAGCTCCCTGCTCCACAAAAATGTTCCATCCTTGGTTCTCTCTTCTCCTCCCTTTCTCTCACACACCCAAAAAAGAAAAGAAAAACAACCAACTTTTTGGGGGGGTTAAGATTTGTAGATTTTATTTACTTGGGGGATTTCTACAGTAACACCAGAGGAAACCACTGCTTACATTGAGCGCTTTCTACACCAGCTGTGAGGTGCCCAGAGGTGTATTCTCAGTGCAGATTTAAACCACGACGGCAATGAGACAATGCTTAGACTTGCAGAATAAAAGATCTCAAATGGGTAACCCAAGTTCACAGCCTAGCCCCATCCAGCTGCTTGAAGTTCTGCAGTTTAATCTGTTTGGTGGCAAAGTCTCATTTTTCAGGTTCTCTCTCCCCTTGCCTCCAGTAGAAGCAGAGCCTAAATCCTGTGCTGCAGAAGATATCAATACTGTCCATTCACACTCTTGGTGTTGCTATTCACAAGTCTTAATAAGCTATGTGCAAACACTCAGCTGCCAGCACACATGCCCACTTAAAGATGCATGGCCTACTCTTCTGAGATTAAGGGTGCTCAGTATTTTTATGAACTCAGTGGCAGTGGAGGTGCTCAGCAAGAAAATCAGCTCACTGCAATTCAGCTCTCAAAAATCCATATCTGCTCTGCTATATTTTTTCACCTTTGATTCTTTTTAAGTGGTAGTTACAGCACATAATGTAACAAGTACGACTTGGAAAGCTTTGTTTGTGGCCAGCATCTGAGATGGAAGAAAGGGACTGGTGCACCACAGAAAAGGGGGCAGAGTCCCCTTTTCATGAAATTATAAACATCTTAGCTGTGCCTAAAAACTGACTTTGTGTTTAATAAAGTAGAAAATTGTTCAGTGTTTTGAAAATGTAAGCTACAATCAATGTGGATTTGGGTAATTAACTTGCAAACCTTTAATTGCAATTGACAGGTGCTGACATCTTATAGCAATTGGCATAATTTGAGACACTAGCAGGACACACTAAGCTCAGTCCCAAATGCTGCAGCTTTTCAGCAATGTGGGAGGCTTGTGATGAAATTTTAAAAAGTCTTATTTTTGAACAGTTGATTCCTGGAAAGAACATTTCTGCCCAGACTGCAACAAGGGAAAGTGGAGGGAGCTTTAACAGAACTGCCAAATCAGGGCTGTTCCAGCATTTCCAAAATGAGCTACTTTTTTGATTAATAAACACATTTTCATTTTGCGTTTAGGACAGATCCTCCCCTTTTCTGCCTTTTTGCATTTTTACAGAATGTGCCAATAAGTAGCAGGTAACCTGTGGGGACTGAACCCAGATTGTGTGTGTACAGAACCCAGGTGATTGTGCAAGTTGTTTGAGTATTCTCTTAATGTCCATAGAAATCATATTCTACTGAGAACCTCTCTTCAGGTGTGAGGCAGCTCTTCTCATTTGCTGTAATTATGGCCATCTGTGACATTCCCCTTGAGGACTGCTGCAATTCCATGCAAATTACACCGTAATGTTCATCATGCCAACTGCACCATACAGACTTTATTGCACATTGCTCAAACATATTTGGGGTTGGTGTTTTTTTTTTTTTTTTTGCAAAACACCACAACACACTGTACAGAACAAACAATTTAACTCTGGTAATTTATTTTGTCACATCACAAAACATGAGCATTGTACATTTGATTTTTCTAATTGGAGTGATCCCCACATAATGGAATAAAACTCCTCTTACTGAACACCAGGAGCTCCAACCAAGATAGAGGAAAAGAACCTGCTCGCTACATAACTTTGTGCCCTGTACATTTTCCTCTCTAGTACCCTGTACAGAAAGCTGTTTTCCAACTCCAGTAGTACAGGAGCCGTAAAGTGTACACGAAAGGAGACAAGAATGGCTCGTTGACAAACCTGTACAATTGCTAATCCCACTGGATGGAAACAGAAAGCTGAGATATTCAACAGAAAGCCAGTGCAGGTTCTGTTTGTATAGATCAGTACCATTTAGCTAGATCTATAGGTATAGATCAGGATTTTTTTTTAGAAGTTTGTGGGTGGTACTAACAGCTTCAAAGTTACATTTTAGACTTTCAATTCCAAATTCCCATAGAAAACACTGTAGGGCAGAAGCTGCCCATTTATGTTTAGGGTTGGGATATCACAGAACACGAGGTTTCCAATTTCCAATAATAAACGCATGGAAGTTACCACCTAGGTCTGTTCTATTTTCAGTTTTACACATTGGCAGAGCCCATGACATGGATGCATGAACAAAATTATTTTAGCGCAGTCAAACTAGTAATACTAATTTTAATGAAACTGGAGAAAGTAAAATTCCTGCTGTTTGTACTCACGCCTGCATCAGGGATTTTAACTGGCCCTGACCAAGAGAGAGTTCATTGTAAATATTTAAATGACTATAAAGCATTGCCACTCTCACACCTATTGTAATGATTCCTTCTTGTCAGAAGGAACATACATGTGACAGAAGATTTTCAAGTCAAAGATTGCATAATACTCAGCATTTATGTAGTGCTTTTAATCTTCAAAGTACTTTCTAACCATTAATTAATCTTCAACATCCCTGTGAGGTAGGTAAGTATTGTTTCCATTTTATAGGAGAAAGGACCAGCCCAGTGTCATACAATGAGTCCAAATGGAATTGGAACACAGTAGTTACTGGCTACTAGTCCTCCATTCAGAGCCTACTTCTCAAATTCTGAACTAGTTTTGCAAAATGTTTGCCATTTACAGGAAACCACTTGTTCACCGTACACAGTTGCAACAGCACCCATTCATGAACTAATTTCTGGCTGTACTACATGTTGCTGTAGTGTAACATGCAGAACTGTTGCAGTTCTGTTGTAAACAGCTGTGTCTTAGTTGCATGGCCCAAGGATGACGACAACAAAAAAGTACAAAAAGGTTTCTGATTATTGAAGTCCCACACCTCATACTCTTCTCTAAATTATAAACCCTGCCCCTGTAGTAGTGAAATGGCTAGGACATTTTTGGTTCAGTCTAAAGCATGAGAACAGTCTTTGCAAACAACGATAATATTTTAGAGGACTCAGTACTTATTGGAGTTGCTTTTTTAGTAAACAACCAAACAAACCCAAAACATTCCTGCAAAGCAAAAAGCAATTGCTTTTGTTCTTGTTATTTTGGATCTGGCATGGCAGATTTACTTGCTCTGTGACAGGTTTGTATCCTGAAGAGACATCCTCCCTTCTCCAAAGCTCTAACTCTATCTACTCTGACAAAAAGCAAAGTGCTGTTATTTAGAGATAAAACTTTTATCAACAAATCCAGAAGAGGCATTCTTAGTTACAGCTAAAAGAGTTTTATCACTGGTACTGCACCATGTTACTACTTACCTACTCTTCTGTGCTTAAAAATATCTTTCTCAATGGTCACACCAGTAAGGAACACACAGCAGCAGCTGGCAGCTCCACTCCAGTTTCAGTAAAAAGGCACAGTATTTTTTTTGGTACTTTGTCAATTTCATCTTATGATGGAGGAAATCTCTATTTTTTCCCTTTTAATAAGATCTGGCACCTACAGTCAAAGAGATGCACTAAGAAGCGTAACATAATTATGGAATTAAATTTAGAACTAAGAGCTCTTCTTAGACAGCTTCAATCTGCAGAATACTATGCAACATTAAAGGGCTTAGACTGGAAGAACAGATGAAAGACTGGAGGAGCACATGTGACATCACAAGTTATACTCTTAACTATACTTTTCAAGTGGCAAAGAGTCCTGCGGCACCTTATAGGCTAACAGACGTATTGGAGACGTATTCACCCACGAAAGCTTATGCTCCAACACGTCTGTTAGTCTATAAGGTGCCACAGGACTCTTTGCCACTGTTACAGATCCAGACCAACACGGCTACCCTTTTTACACTTTTCAAGAGTATGAGCAGAACAAGAAACAAGGAATCAGTTTTATGTATGAATCAAAGTACTCAGTAACTCACTATAGGATATAATGTTTCAGAGCTTGCTTTTGGGTTAATTCATTTCCCACAGGCATCTGTCATTCATCCTCAACAGGTACCACATCTGCCAAGTTTGAACACTGAAGACCTGGTTCTGATCTCAATTTACACTGGGGTAAATCAGATGTTATGCCACTGAAATTAGTGATATTACACCACTGCAAATGAACTCTGAAAAGGTCCTATAAAAGAAGAAAAATATGGAGATATTTTTCATATCTTTCTTGATTTCCAGTTCATTTTAATCATATGCCAACAGCAAGCAGCAATCTCTCCACCTGCTTTTAGGTGGTTCATTAAGACAATACAGAGCTGTGCAAATCCTATCATCACCACAAAGCAGATGGACTCTACTATTCCAACAAAAAATACTGAGATCCTTCCTGGATGTTTCTGATCACACTCCCACTAACTAAACAGATCAATCCAGGAGCATCTGTGGAATAAAAAAAATCTAATACCTAATAATAATTTCTTTTTAGATCACTCATTGGGTTGGAGCCCTAGCTTCTAAATACCAAATCAAAGCCAAAGAGACAGAGAGAGTGTGTTTTCTATATTATTTTGATTCATATTTGCAATACACTGATGTAGGTAAAGAGATAAAAGCTCTATTCCATCAAGTAGAAAAACAGCTTTATCTGTAAACAAGATTGTAGTATACAAAATGGAGAATGAGTAATGTAGAAAAGATAAGGTAGGTGCTCCTATTCACCAGCTTTCATAATACCAGAAAAATGGGCAACCAAGGAAATTAAAAGGCAATAGATTTAAAAATCTGATCAACAGGAAAGACTTTTACACAAACATAATTAACATGTGGAACTCATTACCACAATACATGGAAGTCAAGGTTTTTTAAAAAATCAGACATTTATATTGATAGTGAAAAGTATCCCCAAATGCATTAGATATGATAAAATTCTATAAAGGTTGTAATTCAGGGCAAATGCCAAATCACTAAATGCACAGGATTCAGTAGATGGAATTCAGTACATACTTACCCTATGTGCTGATTGTTCCATAATCATCCATTATGAGGCCATTTTTCTGTGGAAGCATCTGGAACTAGCTGCTGACAGAGACACAGTATGGTGCTAGCTGGACTATCTGTTTGGCTATACCTATCCTATGCAAAGAAACTGAAGCAAGCCCTGTTTTTGACTAGAGAAGTCACATGTGGAGTTATAGGCCAAGTGACCCAACCCACAACTTTCTTGAAACCAAACAGTGTAAAAATATTAAAATAAAAATAGATCAGGAAATAACACATGGTTAAAAAAATCGAATACATAAAAAGAACAACCTAGTGCTGGGCACTCTGTGCATCAATAATACAAGAGGTTTTCCTGTTAATACATAAAAACACACAGAAAAACTGAACAAGTATGTGCAGGGTTCTGATAGCATTACCAACAACTCTGTGGGTGCACCGGTGAGGCCCTGAGTACATGTACAGCACTGTGCTAGTCTTTAAAGTTATGTTTGCACACTCAGCCAACATACACATGGTAAACGAAGCAGTTCCCTCTCCAGATACTGCAGTGACTCAATGAGGCAGTGTCTAAGAGAGGCCAAAGATATCAACCACTTGGAAGTAAATGTTTGCCATGCCCATGTGATGGACAACAGGGCTCATTTCTGTTTAAACACAAACAGTGCAATCCTACTTCAAGCCAGAATGTGCTGTCCCTTACAATGGGCAACTTACAATAAGCAATCAGCATGTGTGCTTCTTGAAGGGAAAACATTTCAGTGAGGAGAAAGATTTCAGGTTCAAGCTTTCCAGGGGCAATATAAATAATAGTGAGGTTAAAAAAAAAAAAAAAAAGAACCTGAAATTCACCTAAATCCCTCATGAGCAGCCAATTCATATTGTGTGTGTCTTCTGTTCAGGTTCTTATACCACACCAAGTATCAATATACCTAAGCACTCCCATTCTCTGCTCCTCACTTTCAATTCTGTCCTTTGATACTGGCTCTCTATATTTTACTTTTCCTTCTGAATTTTAAGATGAAAAAATACAGCATTTTTGTTTCTACTTAATAATAAACACAAATAACAGATATACAAACTCTATTTACAAGGGTACTTGTATTAACATCAGACTCTGGATGGCTTTACTGCCACACTCAAGCCCTGTATGTATACTGTATTGTATATATCCATACCACACACAAAGCTATACACACTAATAGGGGAGAGTGCAGACTTTAGGCACCTGTGAGTGTGTGAAATACACTTTTAAAAATACAGTACTTCAATTAAAAGCAAGTGAAGGGAGGTGCGTTTCTGCTCTTGGGCACCCATGTGGCTGAGCTGCATGGATGGGATTCAAGAACATGAAGCTTAAATAAATGACATCCAAAGTCAATGCGAAGCACATTATGTCATGGGACCTCCAGTGGGCTCTGAAACAAACACATGTGATGACAGCTGATACATTGTTGGAGTTATCCCTCTAAAGAGCTTTCTTTAGTGCAACAACTCCTAGGAGTGATGGAGCTTTGTGCTATTTTAAAGGACAGACCCAGACATGTGGGAGATACTTTCACTAGACAAGGAGAAGGGACTCTGCCTCCCTCACACCACATGACCTAGCCTAGCCGTTTGATTTTGGGTATCTAAAGCACCTAACGTGCACCCTTTGACAGTTCGGAGAGCCCTTCTGAGAAAATGCAGCTCCTCAGTTTAGGGCTTCAGTTTGCCCTCCTTCACTAATCTCTCATTGAGCTGGCAGAGCTGTTTCAGGAAGCCATCATTGGGCCCAATCTCCCGCTTCTGCCGGACAGCGCTCACAGCGGACTTGACCTCCATGTTCTGGCGAAGCATCAGATAAGCAATGACCAGTGTCGGGGAGCGGCTGTAGCCTTCACGGCAATGCACAAATACCCGGCCTGTACAGGGAGAACATACAGAAAACAACAAATTATAACTCGGAAGCACTACAGAAACACCTTTGATGGAAAGATGAATGAACAGAGTAACACTGGTCCTTCAGCAACCCAATGACTGAATTTTGAATGGTCTCAGCTAGAAGACAGGTACTGTGTCTCTGTTAGCAGCCACGTTACCATCCAGCAGACTGCAAAACAATTACACATTATAAACACCTGTACAAATTAAAGCAGAAAATACCATATTTGTTTCCAAAGAGAGAGGAATTGTACTCCTTCCATTTGCTAAATTCCTGCAATCTTTCAGTCTAGAATAAGGGTAGCAGCCTGCAGGACTCCCTAACTTCATCTTCTGCAGAAGAACCAATGTGGTAGAGAAATTAAAAACACAGAATTAAAAGTATGCAAGGCTGCAGATGCATGGTATAAACAGAGACTCAGTTGTTGTTTGGATATAACATTTCACAAAACAAGATACACATCCTTTACGCTGTAATCCTAGCACTTCCTATGTCTCTACCTCAGTTACACCTTCCCCTGCTACTGCCACATCTCTGCTTCTGAAGTCACATTAGCATGTATCAGAGTAGCAGCCCTGTTAGTCTGTATTCACAAAAAGAAAAGGAGGACTTGTGGCACCTTAGAGACTAACACATTTATTTCATGCATCCAATGAAGTGAGCTGTAGCTCACGAAAGCTTATGCTCAAATAAATTGGTTAGTCTCTAAGGTGCCACAAGTCCTCCTTTTCCATGAGCATGAAAGCACTCTCATTTTAGAGAAGCTGCCTGTTCAGCATACAGGATACAAATGAAGGTGCTGACTATGCAGCACCAATAGCCAGCAGAACCCAGTTACAAAACATACCTGCACCAAGAGCACACAGAATGCAGCCAGCTGACTGATACAGGATTCTGAATGCTATTACTCCAGCTATTTGTGGGGAATGTGCTGTAGATAAATAACCAAAAAGAAATTAAATAAAATATCACCTCCCTTCTCCCTGTTTGAAATCTGGCCCAAGCTGGTTTGCTCTCAGGTGGCTTCTCACTGGCCCATGTTTCTAAAGACAGACCCTCTCCCTAAACACAGGGGAGATGGGAGATGCTGACCCAAACAAACCCATTGCAGAAGCAAGAGGACAGAGGAATCACACATTTCTCTCATAAAGAAAAGGAGGACTTGTGGCACTTTAGAGACCAAGAAATTTATTTGAGCATAAGCTTTTGTGAGCTACAGCTCACTTCATCGGATGCATGAAAGCCAGTTTACTTTGAACTGCAGCAGAGAAAAGGCTCTTAGCATATTTGCCTTGGGCTATTGAGATCCTTGAGGGAATTTTTTAGGAACATCAGCATTGCAACCTTTGTGTTAATTTAAAGGCTGATCTCCTAACCACTCTCCTTTATGTCTATAATATTTATTATTGGAACTCGGTGCCACTTCCCTTTTCATCGTTGCTCATCATTGCAGTATTGGAGAAAAGTTATCACTATCCCTCCAGGAACCAAAGAGAGGATAGGTTTCAGAGTAGCAGCCGTGTTAGTCTGTATTCGCAAAAAGAAAAGGAGTACTTGTGGCACCTTAGAGACTACAATCCTGTCCTGATAGTGCCTATCACCTCCAGAGAAAGGGAAGTGCCTAGAAAATGTAAAAGGAAACATAGTTTGATAGCATCCTGTCTGGCAAGAACTCACTTATCAATAGCTGGGATGTGAAATCCTCACTTCTGTATTGTTTTGTCATTATAGTTCCCACTTTGCTATTGCTTGTCTGTATAATCTCTGTCTGGTTCTGTGATTGTTTCTGTCTGCTGTATAATTAATTTTGCTGGGTGTAAACTAATTAAGGTGTTGGGATAGAATTGGTTAAATAATCATGTTACACTATGTTAGGATTGGTTAGTTAAATTTCAGGAAAATGATTGGTTAAGGTATAGCTAAGCAGAACTTAAGTTTTACTATATAGTCTGCAGTCAATCAGGAAGTGGGTGTGTGTGTGGGGGGGGAAAATGGGAACAGGGAATGGGGGTGGGGAAATTGGAATCATGTTTTGCTAAAGGGGGAAATGGGAACAGGGAATGGGGGTAAGGAAATTGGAATCATGTTTGGCTAAGGGCAGGAAGGGAACAGGGACACAGGTGTAAGATCTGTGGTGTGGATAGTGACTTGTCTGAAAAAGGAAGGGGGGTGAAGCCAATTAACTCCCTGCCCTACCATACAAATAATTTTAATAATGGATTCATTTAATAACTGGAATGGACCTTTAACCTAGTTAAAAATCTATTAGTTTTTGGATAATAACTAGACTGGTAGGTCAGAAGTTGCTTAACAGCACCTGAGACTTAAGGAGCCTCATCAGAATTAACAAAGGCACTGACAAATGACTGAACATTCAGAGTCATTTTGTCACTGGTATTCACATTTCTGTGAGCACTATCCAAATTGACCAGGTGCAGCAGGACTTCCGTGCCTCTGTTACAGTTCACCCCAATTGCCTGAACCTGCTAAACTCTCCTTGCTGGTGCAGGCCTGTTTCTCTGGCTCACAAAGCTACTAGGAAGAGGTAAATTCCTGCTTTTGGAATTCATCAGATTGACCAAACTGTAAACTGTCAATCCCTTAACCTCCTACCAAAAAATAAAAATATGCCAAAGGCAGATCCCCCTGGACTCCCTAGAAAGAGTTCTCTCTCCCCCTCTGCAAAAGACTCTTCAGCTGTTCAGATGTGGGCTGAGAAAGTCATTGGGAGCATGTGAAGAAATATGAAGTAAGTAGAAATAATGAGTTGATGAGAAGCACAAGCTGACCTACTGCACTCTGTACTTCTAAGCTTTCAGTATAGAGGAGGCCCATGTTACAAGCTTTGCTTTGCAGCATCGCTAAGCTTATCTCAAGTTTTCCTGGGACTCTGGGGAGCAGCAAGGTATCTAATATTATACCAGAACTTCCATTTGAAAATGTTTAAGATAATTTGGTGCAGCAGAAATTCCAGGGGGCACATACCATAACCAGATAATCCATCTGAAGTGAGAGTTCTCAGAGCTAAATATCTCATGACTCATGGATTGTTTCTTTTAATCAAGCAGCAGTCTGTTTATTCAAACCAGACATCTTTTATCTATGTTCTGATCCTCTGACCAGTGACAGTGTTTGGAACCAGCACGGAAAAGTGTCACCCTTTCCCTCTCTCTTTAATAAAGTCCCAAAGAAGTGTTTAATCTGAGAAGCTGCTACACCAATTCCCAGTTACCATTTCTTCTTGCTCAGAAACACTCTGGCGTTACTACAATACCTTCTGCAGACTCTTTTGGATTACTCAGCACTCAACTTGCTTTATACCTTCAAAGCACTGAACAAACATTAATTAATGCCCTTACAATTTCACTCATACTAAGGACTGTCATATTCAACTCTAGAGTAGATTAACCCTGCCCTCTGTACAAGCACTGGGGCCTTGGTAAAGTCTATAATCTTCTCCTGATGAGGAAATTGTACAGATGGCCCAAATTCATGTCTGTCTAGAGGCCATCTCGATTGGTGTAATTTATACCTTCTTCTGTACCACGCCCTCATGTGTATATTACAGAATCTTAGACTGTGTAATTTACACCCAATCCTACATGCCATCTCCAAATTTAGCCCACTAAGAATAAAAGAGTAAATTGATACATCTCACTTCACATCTGGCCCCATGATGAGTAAAGCAATGAGCAGGGCATTCTAAGGGCATGTACAGGAGACCCTAGAGGAGAAAGAAGCAGCACTGAGTCAGTTGTGTTAAAATATCTAAAAATGTCAGCGATTCCCCTAATATGCATAAAACCTGCTGCCTTCGCACTGGAGTTTTTGGTCCTTATCTTCTGTCCTACTTTCTGAGCATTCATGCTACATCTAAAGATGACCAAGTAAACAACAGAGGAACAATGAATCAAATCCTAAAAAGTCTGCCTGTTTTTGGTGACTGGGGTGCAGATAGTAAATGCTGTTCAATGTAGAAAAGTGTTAATTAATCTGTGAGAAAGGAACCAATTGGGAAAATGCTGGTATGACTTCTCATTTCCAGCTGCGGGAAACAGAACATAATTTGCAGGGGGGAAAGAGATTAAATGAAAAGCACTGAAGACAGCAGAATTAACTTTTTTCAAAAAACAACAACTTTTATTGCACAGAAGTCAGCAAAATAAATGGAATACCTTCCTAATATCACTATTCAATGTAGGAAACTGCTGTTGCTGCCACATGGGATGTTATGTGACCACAAATGGGAGAGGAGATGCTTTGTATGATGTGAATGGGAGAGGAGCTGCCCCCAAAACACTCTTTCAAGAGGTTGTCCATACACTGACGGTGTTTATAAAGCTCTGTTTCAAAGCAACAATCATACAGTGCATGGTCAAAGAAAGGTTTGTGAAAACATATTTTAAACCCCTCAGTCCAGGACAGAAGAGTGAAAACATGGCATAACAAGTTCCTGAGGCTAAAGGGGGTGGGGGCTGATACACTGGGCTTGGGATATTATCTTATTCCTAGAATTCCTTGCTTCTGGAAAGAACAGAGGGGTGAAAAACAAGGATATTCCCTCTGAGCCTTCTGCAAATAGAGCTGCTGACAGAGGAAACAGCTGCTCAGAATGGATTGGTGGATGAAATCTGTGGATCATAATTTAACTGACTTTAGCTGTATTTGTTTAAAGAGTGTGAAAACTTATGCCCACTGTCAGGATATTGGATAAGGAAAAGGCCATGTTCAGATGCATGGGAGCTTATGATGCAATAATAAAATACCCTTTTTAAAAAAGGGAGAATTCCTTCACAGTCATATAAAATATAATAGGAGTACTTGTGGCACCTTAGAGACTAACCAATTTATTTGAGCATGAGCTTTCGTGAGCTACAGCAGCTGTAGCTCACGAAAGCTCATGCTCAAATAAATTGGTTAGTCTCTAAGGTGCCACAAGTACTCCTTTTCTTTTTGCGAATACAGACTAACACGGCTGTTACTCTGAAACATATAAAATATAATATGCCCACTACCCCTGCTACCAGGAAGAAGAAAAGATCTAGAAATAGGTAAGTGAGCTCCTAACCAAGGAGAGAGTGGGTTTTTAACAATTCACAAACAATAGGGGGCAGGTATTTAAAGATATTTAGATTCCTAGTGGGATTTTCAAAAATACATAGGTGCCTAAGGCTTAAGCCAGGGGTAATCAATTATTTTTTGTCAAGATCCAAATTTCTTGGTCAAGGTATACTCAATGTCCAGACTCCAGAGAAAAGAATATAAAAATAACAACAATAATGATAACAAGTAAATAAAAAGATTTTGCAGTCCGTTCCAAAACATCTTGTGGTCAAGATTTGGCCTGCAGTCTACATATTGACTACCTCTGCCCTATGCTAAGAAATTATCCACTCTTGCATGTGTTATTTGCATTTAATCTGCATCTCTAATATTAGCTTGTGACTTGAGTGTTGCATTTTGCAATGTTCATCCTGACTCTGATTTATGATTTTTACTGTCTTGAATTAGTGTTTGGGTCCTGCATTACTTTCCAGATTTTCCATTCTGATCCACTAATATGTTCAGGAAATATTAAAGCCTCTCTTCCTAGCACAGCATTTCCAATATTATTTTCCTTTACACTTTCATTGCTAAGATGCCCTAGCTGTTTTACTCTCCCCAAATCACCCACTGTTGTGGCAGTTTTCCATTGTTTCATACATTGCGGGGCTCTGTTCATAGAGAGCAAATTCTTCATTGTATATTCAAGTGCCCTAAACTCCTCACCAAGAGGTCTAAATCCTAATCTGAATGCTTTGGTTTCTGTTCTACTGAAAAACTGAGGAAAGAAAAAAGGAATATTTTAAACAATGAAACAAATGGCCAGTAAATTCACATACTGGCTAGAAAACAGGGCAGAGAGACTCTTGGAGATACCTTACCATCCTTCTGGGACAGCGCACTGTCAATAAAGTCAGCTGCCTCCTCAAAATAGCGACTGAGGTTAAATTCTTGGGTATCATTAGCTTTAATGCCATGGTAGGTGATGCCTGTGCCTTCGTAGAACTCTGCATTAGTGTTCACATGCATGAAGGATTTCCCCTCAGCTGCGTTCAGGATGTGGGTGATGCCCAGGCGCTGCAGTCTCATGATATTCTTGGCTATGAACCTGGAAAGTAACAAGTATCAAGAAAAATTGGGGCTCAGCAAATCACATAATCAGAGGCCAAACTCTCAGTATTTTCAAGTGCCCTCAGAATCTATAACAAAGCCCCCTGCTGTCCACAGAATCATAGAAACGTAGGACTGAATGGGTCATTTAGTTCAGTCCCCTGCACTGAAGCAGGGCTCAGTATTAACTAGACCATCCCCGACAGGTGTTTGTGGAATCTCCATCATTGGAAATTTTTAAGAACAGGTTAAACAACCTCCCTTTGTAATTTGTTCCAGTGCTTAACTACTCTTACAGTTAGGAAGTTTTTCCTAATGTCTAATCTAAACTTCCCTTGCTAAATTTAAGATTACTTCTTGTCCTGTCCTCAGTGGTTAAGGAGAATTAATTTATCACTCCCCTCTTTATAACACATGGACTCTTATCACCTTTTTATCTTCTAGGTGCTTACAAATTGATTGTTTGATTATTTGCTCCATTATCTTTCCAGATACCGAAATTAAACTGACTGGTCTATAATTCCCTGGGTTGCCCGTATTCCCCTATTTTATAGATAGGTACCATATTGCCCTTTCCCATCCTCCACAAGTTCTCAAGGATATTGCTACTATCTGGTGATAGTTACTCAACACTCTGCACTCACCAGCGAGTCTCCTACAGATTTTTGTCTCAAAAGTTTATCATATTTTTAGCCTGTTCACACACAAAAGGTTCAACCCTTTGCTCCATATTATTCAATATAATGAAGCTACTGAGAGCTGATGTGACAACACGTGCTGCAGTGCCAGGATTATACAGCCAGCTCCCCGCTCTCAGTCTCAGCTGAAATCAGCATCTGGCAAAAGATGAACCCAAGCAAAAGGGAGGCTATAATTTTAGGAAAATGGAAACATTTTGAAGTATTTGCCTCATTGTCCATACACTGTAAAAGTCGGTCCACAGCTTATAGGTCCCTTCAGATTCCTCAGTTCTATCAGATACCAAAAAACACATGGTGGCCAAAAAAAAACAAAAACCCCAACAACCCCCAAAACAAAAAAACATTTCCATCTGCAACTGGCCAGAAGACTGCACCCCTCGTGTCGGGTACAGACCTGGGCATGATGATACATGTGTTCATGCCCTCCAAGCTTGATTATCACAATGCATTAAATGTAGGAATGAAGACACATGACCTAAAAAAACTCCAGCTGGTACAAATGGCAAAAGCCCATCTGCATAGCAACACGAGCGACCATGAATCTATCATGACAGTGCCCTACTCTCTGCATTAGAATTTATATTAGGGATAGGCAAAGTAGTTCAAAGGGAAACAGAAACCACCAACATCCTCCATCCCAAATCTTCACCTGCTTTTGGAAACAAAATCAAACCAAACTTTCAGGGTTCTGAACCTTTCAGAGAACTCCCCTACTCACCAGCCCCATTTGTGTACATTCATTTTTCAGAAGTCTCATCCAGGACTGGAACCAGAAGAGCTGAACTATGGTGAAAAATCAGCTTTCACCATGTTTCTAGCTGGGTCTGGAAGCACAAATCTCATGGGAAAGCTGCTTTTCTCAAGAGCCCTGGCCCCATTTAGCAGACACAAGAGGTTTTAATAGTGGTTGAGCTTTAGATAAACATATGTGCAGTATATTTTTGGATGGATTTCTAAGTTCTGGCAAGGTGCCCACAGCTTTTAGGTGGACGCCTTTTTATTAGAAATCTAAATAGATAAATAAAATCTGAATTAGTAAACTGTACCCAAACTGAACCCACACTCTGGATTTTGAGGTTCCCCAGAAATTAGCTCACAGTTACCACATAATAAAATGTTAGATAATGAACATATAAACCTTATCCTTTTCCCCTGTGACTGTTCCCCTTTTTCAATGAGTGCACATTGCAGATGAATCCTCATGTGTGAGCAAATTTTCTACATGTTCTGCCATATGTACCCAATAATCATGGCAATGGGCCATATCATTTTAAAGACTTTCATCTATTAGCCAAACAAAAGTTGGCTAATTTTCTGTCTGGCAGGATAACAGCTGTGCCAGGGGATAAGCCTCAATGCCAGGGGAATTCTGCTTGGAACAGAATAGTAAATGCTATAAAAACAAGGCCAAAAGAAAAAATGTTCATTCTGTAGTGTATGCCTTGTCCTTTCTTCTCATACCTGACATTTGTACTGATGGAAGTCCTTTGGGTTTTGAAGGAATAAGAGAGCTTTAAGGACATTAGGAACTCCTGTGTCTGAGAACCACAGACTAGGTTATCAATAACACTAGAGGCTGGTCTCTAATCCTTACACAGTAAATGAGTTTGAGAGTTATACCTAAGGTTCTTATCAGTACACTTAGTGGAAGCACAGAGCAAAGCTTGGCCTCTGCTTATTGTAGAACAAATAAATCCATTTTCAAACAGTCCCAGAAAATCCCACTTCCTACATTTCAGTTTCATTGTATTGCCTTCAAACATTGGCTCCTGAGAAACAGAGCAAGGAGATGGTCTCTGGGAAAGGAAAGCAGGATCAGCTTCTTTTCCCCTAAGAAGCTCATGGAATCTTATCTGCTCTGAATATAGAACTCTCCCCATTCTGGCCCTGTAATATTACAATAGCTGTTACCTGAGTGTGTCTTTCTTCCTACCATAGATCACTTTTACCTTCCACAAAATTCAAGTCCTAAAGGCACATATGGCAGCAGTTAATGGTAAATAGTCCTAAGTAAGACTGTAATGCAACATCACTCATGCAGCCAGCCAACCCAACAAATAAAGAGTTATAGTCCAAGCCTTGCTACAAGACAGAATTCACTAATAATTTCTCCATTCTGCCTACCAGTATCCCCAGTGACAGCACAACTCAATTCTTATTGGGATATTCATACACGTCAATTTTCTTTTCACCACCTCTACCAACAGCTTAATCATGTGAGCAACACACCAACAAAAGATTAACTCTGCCCTATAATTAGTGGGCAACCATTAACAACTCATTTATCTTAGCCTGCCTATTGCCATGGGATGACAGGCCCAAATACATACACTTTCTATATACAATAAATGCAGGATAAACTGAAGTGTACTTCCAGTTGGAACAAGTACTTTCTAAAATTCCCCTACTCAGATGGGCACCATGAACCAGACTCAGACGTCCTTAGCAAGATCTTGTTACCAAATAATGACAGGTTTCAGAGTAACAGCCGTGTTAGTCTGTATTCGCAAAAAGAAAAGGAGGACTTGTGGCACCTTAGAGACTAACCAATTTATTTGAGCATGAGCTTTCGTGAGCTACAGCATCCGATGAAGTGAGCTGTAGCTCACGAAAGCTCATGCTCAAATAAATTGGTTAGTCTCTAAGGTGCCACAAGTACTCCTTTTCTTGTTACCAAATACATATTCTGGAGATGTGGCTTGAGGTGCTTATAGGTTTCCAAAACACAGTTTGAAATACAACACTGTTTCTCTGCCAGCAGTGCAGAAGTGATGCTGTTACATATGCGAGATTTGCTTGCTTTTTGACAGAACAGCAATTTTCACAGGACACAGATTTCGGCAGTAAAAAAGGAAAAAAAAAAAAAAAAAAAAAAAGATAAATGGTCCATGTCAGCACAGGGCCAGATGAGGGGGAAATGCAAACACACAAACCAATAGGCTGAAGAGCATTCTGTACATTTACTTTTCTATGCCAGAACATCAGTGTCTGCTCCCAGCCTGACTCTGAGCATATTATTCTTTAAAATGCTTTGGACACATTTGAGAATTGTGTATTAAGATTATCGACTGCAGCTCACTGTAAATAAAAAAAAAACCCTCACATCTAGAGCCCTGAAAATCTGCGGATATCTGCTTTATATCCATCCGCGGACCATGTTTGCAGGTTTGGACAGATGCAGGGCTCTAATCACATCCACATTAATATCCTGTAGCCCTAAGATACAGGAGATCTGGCTCTTAGACATTAATACATGCATTGGGAAAGCCTTAAACATATCCTGTTCTTTTTTAATGCTATTCAGATAGGAATTTATGATTCATTGGTACTAGTCAGAAACAATTATTTTCTGTGAAGTACCTCCTGGAGATGCAATTCAAAACAGTGTTAACACGAGGAAAATGTTGAAATTTGTTCGGTAGACTGAGGATGATCTAGAAAAATTCTGTAATCACAGAAGCTGGTTTAGATTTCATGCTGTATTTTGAATTATTCTGCTGACTTATTATCTGAAAAATATATAATTGTACTGGTCAGAAACCTGTGCAATAGTGTTTACCCTTTGTTTTGAACCTCTGTTTTGAGGAACTGGTCCTCTCTGAATGGTTAGGACTGTCTGAATATGCTTTTCAGTTATTATCCTTCGCTGTTTTATCTTTCAGAGTAACAGCCGTGTTAGTCTGTATTCGCAAAAAGAAAAGGAGTACTTGTGGCACCTTAGAGACTAACCAATTTATTTGAGCATGAGCTTTCGTGAGCTACAGCTCACTTCATCGGATGCATACCGTGGAAACTGCAGCAGACTTTATATATACACAGAGAATATTACTATTACCAGCAGGACAGTGGGGTGGGAGGAGGTATTGTTTCATATTCTCTGTGTATATATAAAGTCTGCTGCAGTTTCCACGGTATGCATCCGATGAAGTGAGCTGTAGCTCACGAAAGCTCATGCTCAAATAAATTGGTTAGTCTCTAAGGTGCCACAAGTACTCCTTTTCTTTTTGTTTTATCTTTGTGTTTTCATCAATTATTTCCTTCATCTATTATATGCGAGGTCTGTTCAGGCCTAATTTTAAAGCCTGACCTGAACTCAACTAGACCCACAGCCCATCCAAACATGACCCAAGCCCGAGAGCGTTAGTCATCTCATTTTCAGACCCAGCCCAAGCCCAGCTCGACACTTCCCCCCGAACCTGTATTACCACTGCCACTTGGTCTGGTAAAGGCTTTCTGCTCCCATGCCTGTGATCTGTCTCCGGCCACCTCATGCCCATGAAGTCAGTACAGCCACAGA